TTGGTCCTTGGCTGGCCCTTGGTTGGTCCTTGGTTGGTCCTTGGTTGGTCCTTGGCTGGCCCTTGGTTGGTCCTTGGCTTGTCCTTTTCTGGCCCTTGGTTGGTACTTGGCTGGTCCTTGGCTGGCCCTTGCCTGGTTCTTGGTTGGTCATTGGCTGGTCCTTGTCTGGCCCTTGGCTGGTCCTTGGTTGGTCCTTGGCTGGTCCTTTTCTGGCCCTTGGTTGGTACTTGGCTGGTCCTTGGCTGGTCCCCTTCAGTTTATTTTTAAACATCAATCTTTGTACTAAAATATTCTCTCTGTCATGATTTGTGCACATTAAGATCTAAAGAGTAGCGCCATCTCCTGGTCAGACCCTGTGTTTCAGTGAAAGGGTCGAGTCAGAGTAAAGAAATCTGCACAGGTAGGGGAAAGCCAACGGCTGGAAGTTGGAGGGGATTTTGCTGCGATTCGACGGCTGTTTGGCTGGGAAGGGCTGTTTTGAATGGCTGCTACTGTACATCATCAATTCAGCACTTTTGGCACATCATCAGGTAGTCTGTGTGTGTATAATATTCTTAATATCTGACTAGAGTATTATTATGTTCCATTAACGCTCAAATTTTTTTGTGATGATTTGTATAATATGTTAAATTACATGATTTATGGACTTCATAGCATTCATACTGACTATATGAGGTGATGTGTCTATTTTTTCCCCTAAATGACAATAATCTACTGATGCTATGAAACAGCAAGTGTGCCCCTGGCCGCCCCACTGGTGGCGGCACTCGTGTAATCCAGGCCCAGAAGGTTTTCCTTCATCCTGGTCACATAAGCAGTTGATTGGCTCCCAGTCTGTGGAAAGTCTTTTTATTTTCTGGACCTTGATTTTCCCCCTCTGATTATAAATGTCTCTTCGCTGTTGACGTACGGTCCGGGCCCTGAAAGCTGTCCCTCACTCTGTAAATCTTGCAGGTTCTCGCTACGTCCGGGGACATGACGCCGTCGTCCTTCGCGCTGTCGTTCGGGGGAAATCCTCTCCATTGTAATTGTGAGTTGCTCTGGCTGAGGAGGCTGAAGCGAGAGGATGACCTGGAGACGTGTGCCACACCTGAGCACCTGGCTGGTCGCTACTTCTGGTCCATCTCTGAGGAGGAGTTCCTCTGTGAGCCCCCCCTCATCACCAGATTCTCCCATGAGATGAGGGTCCTGGAGGGACAGAGAGTTGCTCTCAGGTACAGGCCGCTGTCTGAAAATGGTTTGAAATGGTCGAGACTTGTTTGGATTACTGGAAGAGGAGATGAAAGAGTCTTAAATCTTTCTTCACTTTTAGTCTAATCAGGGTATTCTCCATCTAAAAATTTAGACACATTAAATCTTTCATTTATTCATTGGCAAAAATAATCCCATATTCTGAAGAAGGTCTGAAAACACAGCAATTATTGTTGGAGTGGAAAAAAATGAGGCAAATTATGTTGATATAAACCTTATTTCAAGAAATGTTCATTGATTCTTAGATCAGTTATTTGCAGAGCAGGCATTTATCTCCTCCTTACTTTGTTTACTGAGCTCTAATGATGTTAGTTTGTCCATTATTGGTTTAAAGTTACGTATTAAAATGATTTTGGAGTGTTTTGGACAGAATCCTGATAGAGAATCAATCCGAGGAGGTGAAAGATTATGGTGATGGTAAAGAGGTTCTCCATCTTCAAGGACATCGAGATAAATTATAACTAGAAACATGAAAAAAAGCCACCAGGGGGAGTAGGAGACGGCTCTAATAATCATCCATTTAGGAGAAGGATGCAGTTGTTTTTTTACATTCCTTGTAGACGTAATATTCACTAAAACACAAACGATAGACCAAATTTGAATATAAATAAAAGTTTTAACAAAATCTTTTATGATTTCAGATTTTACATTTGTTTGTTACGACCAGGCGAGAGATTTATTTATTTTTTTCATTTTGAGAATAAAGTTGTAACATTACAAGAATAGCTCCACTAATCAGCAACCTGAGTCCATCCTGCTCAGTTTGATGCTTATGCTAAAAGATTTCCTTATTTGTCAAACTGATGCGTTGTCATAAAATAAAAACTTTATTCTCATAATGTTACGACTTTATTCTCGAAATATAACAAAAACAAAAATCTCTAGCCTGGCCCAAATACTCCATAGTAGTTTGTAAATACATTTGTAGGGTGAGAAATTTGCCCCCATTTTATTGAAAGCAATATTGAAATTTCAAAAATGGAAATTTTAAGACAATGTATTTAAAAAGGGAACTTTAAACTTTTGAGAGTAATTTGTAACAAGTATGTGAAAGCAGCATTTCTATTGGTTTGTGCACGGACCACTAGAAACGAGTCTGCTCCTCATTGACGTTAGCAACAATGTTTCTATTGGTCAGTGCTCAGACCACCAAGTGTAGCGAGGGAAATTTGTAAAATAGGATTTTAAAATAAAGCAAAATCTAAGAAATTTTAAGAAATATTTTATAGCAAACAGTAAAAATATTGGTTTAAGTTTCATTTCTGAAAGTGATTTTTCTTTCAGTTCCCTTTTGTAAACGTGTTCTTTGCTCTGAGTATTATTGGAATATATGTCCCTCCATAATTATGTTTTTTGTCAAATAAGATTCTGCAAAATTTGCAAAGTGTTGGAGTGAAAGAACACTTTCCTTCAGGGGGGGATTTACCATTAGGCAATACTATGCAGCTGCCTAGGGCCTCAAATCCCCATAAAACTCTGTTTATACTTATGGTTAATACAACTCTTCCTTATTTGTGCACATTAATTATGTTTTTGATAAAAATCCTTTGGCTAAAATGCCATCAGAACGCTGATAATATTAAGTGTGTCTCAGCTCCCCCTTCAGTGTCCACCATATTGGATCAGTCCATTTGCTGTTCATGTTCAGAAAGGTCCAAACAGACAGCAGCAAACCATTTGAAAACAAACGATGCAAAGAGCAGTGTTGCCAACTTAGCGCTTTAGTTTAGACTTTGGAGACAACATCTAAAAGCAGCGAACTCTGCTCTCCAGAGCAAGTAGATTGGTAACCCCGCCTCCTGCTCTCCTCTATCTTGTCTGCTGTCATGATTCATGCAGCTATTATTTCATCCAAATGAAAAATGGAGAACAGATAAGCAGATCATGGCTTGTCTACAGTGAAAAGAAGGACTGGGTTATTTACTTTGGCCTTTTTGGAAACACAGGAAGGAGCAATCAGCTAAGTGAGCTTAGTGCTTGGAAAAAAATCTTTTATTCCTTTTGAGACAGCATGAAAAGTCAGCTGAGTACAAAACATAGAGAGGAAAACAAGAAGAAAAGGGACAAACCTAGGAAAAGTAATTGGTTGCCAATTCTATTACCTTTTTCCTTTTTGTGAATGGGGCCTTTTAAGGGTTGGCCTCCTCGGTTCGGGGGGCCCCCTACCTGTCTTTGGCTAGGGCCCCAAATTTTCTAAATCCACCCCTGCCTGCTTGTTTAGCTCCTCTTCTGCCAGAGAACAGGAAGGTTTTGGTCTAGATGCAGGTTATTTGCGGCGTCTGTCAAAGATTATAGCTGTTTTCTTGTCTTCCTTTTCTGTCGTTTAAGGTGTAAGGCCAGAGGGGATCCAGAACCGGCCATTCACTGGATTTCTCCTGAAGGCAAATTGGTGTCTAACTCCTCCAGAACCCTGGTCTACAACAATGGGACTCTGGACATCCTAATCAGCACTGTGAAAGACACAGGCTCCTTCACCTGCATCTCGTCCAACCCTGCCGGGGAAGCCCACCAAACCGTGGAGCTGGTCATCATCAAACTGCCTCACATCTCCAACAACACCAACAACATCCAAGAACCAGACCCCGGTTCGTCTGACATTTCCACGTCCACGCGGGGCGGCGCCAACGGCAGCAACGTGACGGGTGACGTGAAGGGCGGAGCCGACAAGCGGGTGGTGACGGCGGAGGCCACGTCCTCCACCGCTCTGATCAAGTTCAACTTTCAGCGGAACATCCCCGGCATCAGGATGTTCCAGATCCAGTACAACGGCAGCCAGGACGACTCGCTGGTTTACAGGTAGGAGAGATGGCATCGGCGAGAGAGGGCCCGCCATCTGAGCGAGGCGGCTCGGATTTCATCGCATTAGACCGAACTTCAGGTCAAAGGGTTAAAGAGATCCACCGTTAGCGCTAACTTTAGAATTTATCTGAGAAATGTTTTCAATCATCAATGCTCTTTAGCTTTAATGGATTTTAGAAATATTTAGTCACAAAAACTTTCCGTGTTGTTTACCCTGCAGTGCATTCTGGGTAAATGGCATATGCTAGGTTCTCTAACGCTAAAACCATCCAGCTAAAACAGCAAAGAGTAACAGTAAAACTTTTCAGTTAAAATTGATGATGATTTAGAAATCACAAGAGGTGATGAAGATGAGTTGCTGAAGATGCTGCTGCTAGCAGAAGCTAATCCACATGGTTACAAAAACTCTATTGACCAGAAAAAGTTTTGTTGACAAAATACTTTTTGAAAAAAATTTTTTTTTTTTTTTTTTTTTATTAAAGTCTTAGAAAACAGCAAAGTTTCCTTCAAAACCTTTTTTTAATTAAATAGTTTCATTTTTGGATTTCAATTTATTTTTCAAAAAAATTGAAGCAATTTTGGAACAAAATTCACTCCATAGTTTTGATGCACAATTCATTTCTGACCTGAAAATGAATTGAATATATCTCAGATGAAGTTAAAACCTGGGCCAGAAGTTATACAGTGTTGCTTTAAGAAAGTATTCAGTAAAAATATTGATTGTTGGATTGATTAATTAATTCTCTTTATTGATCTCACTGTGGAGAAATGTAGTCGTTCCATCAGCTCAAATAGTCAGAAACAAGAATGAGCCAAAGGAAGGAAAAGGTGCCTGGATATATACAGTATATGCAGTGCATCAATATATGACAGCTTTTTTTTTATAGTAGGATTATTATACAGGGTTATTGCACAGGGTGTTTACACAGGTATTCATATAGATGGATATTTATATATATAGTTATTGCACTGGGTATAAAATAGTAATTGTTCTCCATTACAGCAGTTATTGTGGTTGTAGTTTCTCATTGTAGTGTCTGGTGGCAGCAGGGATGAATGACCTGCAGTAGCGCTCCTTTATCCTAACAGGGTGTAAAAGTCTTTGACTAAAGGAGCTGCTCAGCTCCTCTCCAGTCTGCTGCAGAGGGTGGAAGGTGGTGTCCATAATGGATGGAATCTTGGACAGCAGCCTCCTCTCTGCCACTTCCTTCACTGAGTCCAGAGTGCAGCCTAGGACAGAAACAGGCTTTCCTACCAGTTTGTTCAGTCTCTTTCTGTCCCGCTCTGCGTTGCCAGGGGCCCAGCAGACAACAGCGTAGAGGAGAGGAGGGGAGGGTTATTATTCGCCCCCTGCGGTGGGTTAGCAGCAAAGCTAAAAGGCTAACAGGAGCAAACAGGTTTGAATGTCACTGGAAAACTGCACTGCAAAACATGCTAAAACATAAGTAAACATTATTTAAGATTCGTGGATTTAAGCAGCGAAATAAGAAGCTTGAACAGAATCAGAATATCTGCCCTGAAAATAACTGGATATTATGCACTTAAAATAAAGTAATTAGTTATTATTTTCTTAATTTAAATATAAATAATCTTTTTCTATCTGCAAATTATCCTAATTGCAAGACAATGGAAAATACTGTTAATTTTTTAAGAAAATTTGACTTAATTATAATTTATTGTAGTTTACACATCTGAAGCAAAACAGGAAATAAAACTAGAAAAGTTTGAAGATTAAGAAAAAGACATCAGTCATTAAAAGGAGACACTAAGTGTTTATGCAAACCTGCAGAAATACAACGATTAGTCAAATTTAAGGTTAAGTTAAAATGTGAAAGACACCCAATGTGAAAGTAAATACAAATAATCAGAAAGAACTTTTCATAATAATCAATAAAATTTTGTTTTATACCCAAAGAATGATGATTATGGGGAGACCAGTTTCCAGCCTTCACCTCTAAATGCAGAAAATGATAAATAAATATTAAATATTTCCTCAGCTGAAATGAGGAGAGGGAATTATCAAACACGAAGAGCTTCAGAAACCATCGTCTTTCATCTGAAGGCCGCTGCGTGTCATCGCTACCATCATCAGCATGAAGGGCCGCTGTGTTTCGCAATGATGGCGTGAGGTTGCGCGGATCCTAACCAGCAACCCGCCCCCCATCATGAGCAGCATCCTTTCCTGATCCCTCAGCTGTTATCTAGCACGCATGTTGTTTTTAATCTCTGTTAATAATTCATTGGTTCTGAAATTCTCTTAGCAAACGCTTCATGGAGTCGGAGCCACGGGGATTCATAGCTGCCTCATTCTTTCTGCTCGCTTTTTAAACTCAAACTATTTAATGCTTTTGGATTTTGGGGTTTTTCTTTCCAGTTTTATGAGCTGTTTGAATGCTTGTGTTAGTATCTTTGGAAGGTAAATGATCTTAGAACTGATCTAGAATCAGTCGCTGGTCAGCTCTAGCCTAAAAAACGCCCTGCCATCGTTTTAATGCATTTCTTTCTTCTTCAAATGTTGATATTTGATCTGGTTTAGTTGGAGCAACTTTTCCTCTGACATTGGGTCCAGTGAGGATTAAGACAACAGTGAAATCTCTTTTGCTTTCCGTTTCTGCTGTTAGAGGAAATTTTAAAAAAGACTAGGCTGTTTGTGGTGCTCTAACAGTCAGGCTTAGAGGAGCTCTAATAGTCAGGCTTTAAAAGAGCTCTAATAGTCAGGCTTAAAGGAGCTCTAATAGTCAGGCTTAGAGGAGCTCTAATAGTCAGGCTTAAAGGAGCTCTCACTGTCAGGCTTAGAGAAGTCAGGAGCC